TCTGGCACGTTTGATACAAAACAGATCCTGGGGCTAGGGGTGTAGCTCAACAGAGCACTTATCCAACATGTAGAAAGCCCTGATCTCAATCCCTAGTGCTACAAAAACTACTCTCCAAAGTATCCATCAATTATTCAAACCCTGAATGAAATGATTTCTTCCAAAATTCAAAAAAAACCACCTTAATCATTCATCAGAACTGCATGCACCAATATATTGAATAGACATATATATGAACAAAATATTACTACTAACTTTGTTGCACAATTAACTTTTTGAGTTTTGTTTTTGTTTTGTTTTGTTTTTTTTTTTTTTTTTTTTTTTTTTTTGAGACAGTATCTCAGCATGTTGCCCAAGAAGCTGGCCTTGAATTTCTGACCCCTGACCACTCTCCCCCGGAAGTGTTACATACATTTGGGCCTCACTGCGACCAACTAATTTGGCAGCATATTCTAACATTAACTAAAACAAGCCTATAGCAACAACACTCAGCAAACACAAAGTACAAAAAAGAATACCAAGAGGAAAAAAATAAATCCATTTCAGGAAGAGAATATTCACCATTGTACAAAAAAAGATACCTCATCCCTAAAACAATATATCAATATAACTCCAGTATGATAAAATCTGTATTTTTATTACTCCTAAATATAGAAAGGTACACACATGAGAATATTCTATTATGTAGCAAAACATATATAAAGCCAAAATCAGAACATGATACTAGGTTAAGGACACACACACACACACACACACACACACACAAAAGACACATATCAATGCAACAGAGAAAAAAGTACAGAAACATACCCAAGAATTTAGTAATAATTTAAAGAGTATTTCAAATTATTGTGAAAAACTTCAATAATTCAGTAAGTGTTGAGAAAACTGACCAACCAGGTAGGAAGTACAACATCTATATTGCTGCCATAACCTATAATTAGTTCTAGATATATTAAGGATTTAAATCTAAATTTATTGCTCTTTCCACTATCTCCATTCCTCCAAGTCAAAACAAAAAAGCTTCCTGTTGGGGAGGGGCACAGGAAAGTGCTACTGCCTGTGCAAGTAGGATGTGCTCCCAAGAGCAAGCACAGCCACAGGGAGGGCTGAAGTAGCTGAAAGATAAACAGCCAACCACAGAGCAGGCACAGTGAGCAGGGGCAGACTGCCACTGATGGTCCAATCCAGAAGGGCAAAAAGGACTGCCATGCAGGGAAAGAGTGGCAAACCAGAGAGGGAGGGGGTGACACAGGAATATACGACAGTATTTGTCTGTATGAACATACAGGTTATTTCCCAGTTATACCATCTGAGAGGGTAACAATCCCAAGAATCCCAATTGAGACTAATATCCCAAGAATAATAAGCCCATTTAGTGTTGCTTTGGTTTCTAAGTACCAACATCACCTAAAAGGAATCAACACTCCTTGGAGAAGTGATGATTCCAGGACTAGAACAGAAATGATACAAGTAAGCCGGAATACATTGCTTCATCAGGGAAGTGCTCACAGAATGAATGATAGAAACATAGCAAAAGCTGGGTGTGGTGGCACATCCCTGTAATTGAGATTACAGGAGGATGAGGCACTCAGGAGGATGAGACAGGAAGACTGCAAGTTTGAGACCAGCCTGGGATATAAAGTGAGGTCAAGGACAGCTGAACTGCATAATGAGACACTGTCTCAAAAAGACCAAAAAAAAAAAGAGAGAGAAAGAAAAAAAGTAAGCAAACAAGTAAAAGAGTTCCACCAGCCCAATCTGAGACATCATAAACGTCAAAAGAAATAGCAGTAATGGAGTATGAGCCATTAAAGTGAAACACGCAGAAAACAGTCACAAAGAAAACTTTTGCTTATAATGGAATAAGAACTGATGAATGTAATTACAGAATTAGAAAATTATGATTTGTCATCAATCATAGTAATACATTAAGCCAACAATATCAGTGGGTGCTAAAATTAATAAGCAAAAGGCAGAAGACACAGGAACAATGTATTTACATACAAATGGCTCTCCCATAAAATGCTTACTAATTAAAAAGAGAAAAAAAATGACTCTGATAGCAGAGAAACCTGACAACACCACCCACCTTTACTAAATGATAAAGCAACATCACAAGTAATGGGCAAAACTGAATCATATAACCTAACAAGACAGAACACAGAATCATTTCTGTGACATTCCTGGCAAAAACAACTACCAGAGTAAAGGACTGAGTTAGTATTTCAGAATAAAGAAAATAAAAGTCAAAATGCAATTCTTGATCATGTTCCTATGAAGGAAATTTCTCAGAAAATTGGGACAAAAATTGAGGTTAGTAGGCATGGTAATGAAGAGATCACTGTTAATTCCCCAATTCTTTCTTGGAACTGCACCAGGGGAATCTTTCCCCTTTCTTTGTCGAGCTAGGGGATATATAACCAAAGCCCAACAATACATAGTGCCCTCTTCTACTGCAATACACAACCAGCCCCAGAATACCTTTCTTATAGGAAATATATACCAGGGTACTTGGGAGGTAACATAAATTACTTTCAAATGTCTTAACGGAAGAAAAACTCTTCATAATATTCACACAACAAGGGGCTGGGATTTAGCTCAGCGGCATAAGTACCTGCCTTGCAAGCAGGCGGTCGTGAGTTCAATCCCTGGTACCGATAAAAATGAAAAAGACAAAAAAAAAAAAAAAATTCACACAACATGTACATGAACTTGAAATTACTTCAAGATTAAAAGGAAAGGGGCTGGAGATTTAGCTCAGTGGCATAAGCACCTGCCTTGCAAGCAGGTAGTCGTGAGTTCAATTCCCAGTACCGATAAAAAGGAGAAAGAAAAAAAAAAGATTAAAAGGAAAGGCCAGGAATTTAGCTCAACAGCACAAGCGCCTGTCTGGCAAGTGCGAGATCGTGAGTTCAAATCCCAGTACAAAAAAGATAAAGAACCAAAAAAAAAAAAAGAAAGAAAGAAAGAAAGAAAGAAAAGAAAAAAATATTAAAAGGAAAAATAAGGTTTTTAAAAAATAAACAGAAAGCATTAATAAAAACTGTATATACTAGAGACTTTCTTGTATTGCATCAAGGACTGAAATAATAAAAAGTTATATAAATAAATAAATAAATTTGAACTTAAAAAATAAATTTAAAAAAATTTTAAAAATAAAACATTCTTAACTTCCCCACTAGAAATAATTAATCTACTAGAATACCAACAACAAAGGCTATGAAAACACAAAGTTAAGAGACTTAAGAGTTTGGGGCTTTAGTTCAATGGTAGGGTGCTTGCCTAGTGAGCTGAAGGTTTAGGGTTCAATCTCCAGTACTACAAAAGGGAAGTGTGTTAAACTTTAGGCAAAAATATACACAACAAATATATCAGAAAAAAATTCTAAAATAAAACAATCTGAAGGGATTAAAGTTATAATATTAAAATGAAATAAATATGTAAGATCAATCACACCTGAAAAACCTTCAAAAACTTAACTGAAATACCTTTCTTTTTTTTTTAATTGAGACAAAGTCTTGCTCTACAGGCTGTCCTTTACTCACTATGTAGCACAGGCTGGCCACAAACAGCAACCCTCCTGCTTCAGCCTCCTAAGTGCTGAGGTCATACAGCTGCGTCACCATACCCAGCTAAGAATAGCATTTTTAACGGTGATAAAGAATAAGCTTCACACAACATGAGGTTATGAGCAATTTTACATATTGCTAATGTAATTTGGCAAATGTATTTCAGAGAATAATTCACATAATGCATTGACACTTCTAAAATGTTCACACCTTTTATATAGACTCAAATGGTGTCACTATATGCTAGACACTAAACAACACCCTTCAATAATAAAGGAATGCTTAGTTTAATTTCAGCTTAATGAATGTATTAATATTCTTTGTATTATAGACTAAGTACTGCATAAAAATATGGCAGAAATGGTATTACTGACACAAAATCATGTTCAGGACTCTTTAAATTTTAAAAGCAGACAAAATAATGTAAGTGTCAGGATCCAAATGTTTTAACAAGTTTATTTATTATACATTAAAAACATGCAGAAAGTTCTAAGCAAGGATCTAAACAAGATTTCTTTCTTCCCTGCCTCCCCTCTTACCTCCCTCCTTCCATTTTTGTAGTACTGGGGACTGAACCCAGGGCTTGCACATATTGGTAAACATTTAATATTGAGCTACACCTTACCACTCTTTATTTCATTTTGACACAGGGTAGCATTAAGTTTCCTAGGCTCGCCTCAAACCTGGGATCCTCCTGCATTAGCCTCTCTTGTAACTGGGATTATAGACACACATCACTATGCCCACCTTTTGTTTGTCTGTAATTTAAAACAGACAGGCCTAACTAACTGGCCTTGAACTCCCGGACAATCATCCTGTTTCAGCCTCTAGAGCAACTGGGACTACAAGTGCGAGTCATCAAGCCTCACTAAGATTTGTTATTCTTTTTAAGCCAAAAATAAAAATCAAATCTTAAGGTATAAAGAACTTTGTGATAATATGTAACTTTTTGATGCACATTTTTTAACAAAGTATGCTATTATAATGAATCAATTTAATTTGAATCTAAGAAAATTTCAATACTCAAAAACAAGAATGGTCAGTAATAAATTCTTATAGGACAAGTCTATGGGCTGAGGATTTAGCTCAGCAGCAGAAGCACCTGCCTTGCAAGCACATGGTCATGAGTTCGAACCCCAGTACCGATTAAAAAAAAAAAAGGACAAGTCTATAAAGATAGTATGTCCTGTAAATGTTAAAACAGTAAGTATCTTATTGCCTACACTTTAAAAAAAAAAAAGTGACATAGTTTTGTTGTATATGTCTGTGATCTTAGTAATATTTTATTAAGTGTAGTTTAGAATAATTCTTATTTTTCTTCAAATCTCTCCAGAAGCTAGAAGTCTTTAAAAATACAAAAATGCCCTTCCATCTCCTAATTTTGAAACAAAATAATTATATTCAAGTAGTAATAAATATCCACTGTACCTTATTATAACGATCATGTGGAACAGACTGTAAAACGATAGGTTCCATTGTAGAAACATTTGCAAACTGTACCTCTGGAATATACAGGGCACAAACCACATGAGCCCAACCTAAAAATACATAAATAAAAGTCATTCTTAAAGTTTTATTAAAAATAAAATGATCACGTTTCTGAAAAGATCCCTTAAAATCACTATTTATGAAATGTGTAACAGAAGACACAGTAAATCCTCAGCACTGGCTTCCCCTTGAGAACAGTCGAACCTTTTTCTGAGGAAGCATTCTTAGTCATTTCTCCAGCTCTGACACACAGCAACAGAAAGGAAACATTTATCAATTCCAATGCTAGTGTTAGTAACACTTCTTATATGGCAGACAAAGTATTTTAGATCAACACTTTGTGAAAACCAATTCAAAGATAACTTTAAATAGTTCGCTTAAAGTTGTGATAGTTTGCTGGGCTGGAGATGTAGCTCACTGGGGAACGCACTCACCCAGCACATACTAAAGCCTGGGTTTGCTCTCCTGCACCACCAGCCCTACACATACATACACACACACACACATACACACACACACACACACACACGTACGTGCACATGTAGTTTCAACAGTTTAATCTTAACTGTTAATTTAAATTTTTATAGTAATGTCAATACTTTTCAACAGTAACATTATATTAAATTTTTGTTTGAAAATTTTAATAACTGCATCATATGTGTCTTTTAATTATAAAATATGAGCAAAGGTAGTAGGAGTTCATGTGAGAGTGAAGAGCACTATAATACTGGAAAAGGATGAAAGGCCATGGATGTGGGCACAGAAGATATCAGGAGAATGCCAAGTGGTAAGCCCTCACCTCTCCCACCTGTGCCCTGGAAAGGCCAGAAGTCAGGAGGAAGAGTTCACTGCAAGTACACAGGGCCTCACAGACACTGTGCCCAGAATGCTCATCATCTCAAGCTCAGACATTGGATGAAGTTAGTCCTAAATCACACAGTCACCATCAAACATCTCCTCTGAAGGAAAATAATATTAGCCTAGCTACAAATAATTTCTACATTTAATTAGAATTTCCAGAACAACAAAAAGTATCAAACACACAGATAAGACGCCACGAGTGAAAACCAACACAAAGAAAATCAAAAGAGATCTGTGTATTGGAGTTACCAAATACAGATTTTAAAACAAATAATGTACCAAGTATGACAGCACACACCTGTAATTCCCACCACTGCAGAGGCTAAGCCAGGAGGATCACTGCAAGATCACAGTACATAGTGAGTTCAAGGCTAGCCTGAACAACATAATGATGCCTATCTCAAAAAAACAAGTATGCTTATGATGACCAAATACATGTAAGAAAAAATTAAAATTTGTTGCAGTAAACAAAAACTATAAATAATAAACAAAAATTGCAAGAAGTAAAAATACAGAGCCAAGGACAGTGTTACACATCTGTAACTCTAACCCTTAGGAGGTCAAGGCAGGAGGATCATGAATATCTAAAGCCAACTTGGATATCTTGCCTCAAAAAACAAAATCACCTAAGCCTAGTGGCATATGCCTGTAAACTCAGCACTCAGGAGGCTGATGCAGGAGGATCAAGGCCAGCCTGGGCTACATAATGAGTTCAAGGCCAACCTGAACTACACAGTGAAACCTTGTCTCAAAAAAAAAAAAAAAAAAAAATCAAATCAAAAAACAAAGCCAAAACTAAAAAATCAGTAAGTGGGAGATTAACTAGGTATGGATAAAAAGACATTAAGTAGACAACAGAATAGGTCAGAAGAAAATATCCAAAAATATCTAGAATGTTAGCACAAAAAATATAAAAAACACAAAAAAGGAACAGAAGACATAAAAAAATACAATATGGAAGCTTATTATACATATAATCAGTATCAGAAATACTTGAGAAAATGGCATAAATGATAACACCTAAAACAAGCCACTAATGAAAAATTACTATAATCCACATTGTAAATAAAAATAAATCTTGTTCTAGCTGCATTAAAATAAATTACAGAACAAACTAAGTGTCCAGTCATGGAGTCACGGTCCAGACCCTTTTTATATCACCATACAAGATGACCTACACAGAGCTATGTGCAACCCCGCAGTTCCATTCATGGGAAGTACCTATCCAGGGCACCATTTTCTCTTATGTCCTGTTTTCATTACACCAATACTTACCAACTGCAAGTACCTGTTATCACTAGCTTGAGTATTCAGTGCACTAACAGGTACAGGTTTTTAGCCAGGGATCAAAAAGTTATACCATAAAACTTCAGCAGTAGGCTATATCACCCAGATTTATGTACAAGGCTTAATCAAGTTAAAAGTATTCAAATTTTTTTAAATGTTACTATAGTAGAAGACACATTGCCAGTAATTCCCTTCAAAATATACTCCCTCACCTCAAACACACCAATGTCTGCCACTTCCTGAAGCAGTTCTCAAAGTTCTTTTATATATTTAGTTGTACTGCTGTGGATGCTTCGATCTCCTAAATCAATTCAAAACATTTCTCTTTCTCCATCATTTTGACTTTTAAGAAGAGCCAAATGTGACACAGTACCAAGTCCAGTGAATAAGGATACATGGTAATGTTTTTTATGAGCTTACTTTTCTGTTGGATGGAAACATTTTATTTTTTATTACTGCATAAAGACAAGAAAGAGGACTCAGGTTGCTTTAGAAAGTGGCCAGAACGATAAATAAGTGTTTAAAGCAACATGGGGATTAATGGCAATGTCTTTTACTGTAATAAAATTTTTAGTTTAAATATTCACTATGGGGCTGGGGATATAGCTCAGCAGTACAGCACCTGCCTGACAAGTGTGAAGTCCTGAGTTCAATCCCTAGTACATATATATATATATATTCACTATATATTTTGATCATCCCTTGTGAGGACACTCTATGTTTGTAAGACAAAATCACCTAGTGATATGTATCTCAAGAGTTTATACCCATCATTAACCACCAGCATATTACTTACTCAAAACACAAATAACAAAAAGCTTTTAGCCAATATACTTAATTTAATTTTAGCCAATATACTTAATATAATTAATTTAGACAAAATATAGGGCCAGGGTTTAGTTCAGCAGCACAAGTGCCTACCTGGCAAGCACAAGATCATGAGTTCCATCATCCCCGGTACCCCCCCAAAAAAATTCAAAATGGCTGACTTTCCAAAGACTACAACTTACCAAAATCAACACAATAAAAAGTAGAGATTTTTCAATTTTAAGCATAAAGGTGCACACTTATAATCCCAGCTACTTAAGAGGCTGAGTGACGCAAGAGGATCACATGTTCAAATCCAGCATAGGCAACTTAACTTAGTGGGACCTTGTCCCAAAATTAGAAAGGGGTAGAAGGTAGAGTAGAGGAATGGGAAGAAAAAAAGAATCAAGTTATTACCACATTTAGGTACAAGTTCCCTGTAGTGAAAATATGTATACCTAAAATATACCAATAAACAATTTTAAAAAGGGGGGCTAGGGATGCAGTGCAGTGGTAAAGCATTTGCCCAGCATTCAGGAGGCTCTGGGTTCAATCCGCCCTACCAGAAAAAAGTCTAGAATTATAACCTTCAGGGAATGCCAAATACAGATTTAGCAGTGAATTCTACCAAACAAGTAAGGATGACACAATGTCTATCTTACACAAATGTTTCCAGAAAATAGAAAAGAATACTTCCCAACTTGCTAAGAACAGTATAATAGCCAGGTGTAGCAGTGTGGATGCCTGTAATCCCAGCACTCAGGAGGTTGAGGCAGGAGGTTTGTTACAAGTTCAAGACCAACCTGGGCTACAAGTGAGCCCAAGGCCAGCCTGAATTGCATAGCAAAACCTTGTCTCAAAAAGAAAAAAAAAAAAAAAAAAAGTATAACATTAATGCCAAAATCAGGTAAGACTATAATAAGGAAAATCACAAGCTAATTTCTTTAATTTCACGATCAGATGCCAAAAATTCTAAACAGGGGCTGGGGATTTAGCTCAGCAGCATTAGCGCCTGCCTTGCAAGCAGGCAGTCGTGAGTTCGATCCCCAGTACCGATAAAAAAGAAAAAGACAGGAAAAAAAAATTCTAAACAAAATTTTAACTGACTCCCACAATAATTTAATTTAATTTATTCTGGGGGAAAAAAGTTGCTTTAACTCCAAAAATATAGGAGCATAATTCCTGACAGAGTAAAATAAAAATATGATTTTAACAGAGGCAGTAAACTATATAAGTGCTGAGGATAAAGCTCAGTGGCACAGCGCCCGCCTGGCAAGCACAAGGTCTTGAGTTCAATTCTTAGTACAAAAAAAACCCTACATAAGTTCTTCATAAGTTACTTAAATTTTCACAGTATGTCACAGCTTAATAAATTCACATCTACATATTTTTGAAAGTACTAAGCTATAGAAAAATATGAGTTTCTCTGAAAAGACAACAAAAAGTAGGAATGAAGATAACTATAGCTTATTTATTTCTCACCCAAAAAAATGCTTGGGAACATAAGTGTTTCAGATTTTATTTTAGAGATTTTCAGATTTTAGAATATATGCATAATACTGGTAAGCTGAGCTTCCCTAATAGAAATCCAAATCTGAAATGCTCCAATATCCAAATTTAGTGTTCAAAAACTTTTGGATTTGGGAGCATTTCACATATGGGATTTTCAGATTAGGAATACTCAAATATTCAGGGAAGAACATCAAAATGTAGCAACAGAAGTCAGCATTTCTTTAGAGTCAAGCAACATAAATCCTAGCATGTAAAAATCAGCATTTACTAGAAACATCAACCCTCTAGAAATATACAAAAGAAAAAACAGAATACAGCTTATTTTTCAAAAGTTTCAAGTTTAGTTTCCATTTTAAAAACCACACCAGGCAAGGTGGCACATGCTTGCAGTCCTAGCTAAAAAAAGATGGGATCTTGAGCACAATGTGAGCCTGGAAACACAATGAGACCCATCTCAAAAAAAGAAACTGGGCAGGAGATGTAGCTCAGCAGCATAGCCCCCACCTGGCAAGCAAGAGGCCTTCAATTCAATTCCTGTTAATTAAAAAAAAAACAGTTCCTAAATTTCTGGGCCAGGGGTTTAGCTTAGCAACTCAAGTACCTGCTAGTAAGCACAAGGTCATGAGTTGGATCCCTGGTACCAAAAAAAAAAAAAAGAGGGCGGGGGCTTTTAGAGCTCAGCAGCTTAAGTGCCTGCTTGGCAAACGCAAGGTTGGGAGTTTGATCCCCAGTAGGAAGGAAGAAAGGAAGAAAGGAAGAAGGAAGAAATTAACATTTTACTAAAAAATAAATTTATGTTGAAGTGTGCAACCACTTTGCATAGTTAGTAGTCAATGTTTGTCTATAAAGTAGAAAAATCATTTTCAACAAAAAACATATATCCACTACTCTAGAAATGAATAATCACTATTTAATTTGATATAATATACAGTACCAGACATTTTAAAGTAATTCTTAGCCATTCCAGTTTTCAACAGAAATTTGTTTTAACAACTTTCTGTACTTACCCCCATTATCTGTTCTTTTTAAAGCTCCATCCTTATGGGGACACAGTTCACATCTCTTTAAAAAGAAAAAAAAAGTGAAAAAATTTTCTCAGATTACAGAAAGTGTAACATTTTTCCTGCATCTTCAAAACTGAAAATATGGGAACTGCATTTACACTAACTGCCTCCATCAACAGTTCAAAACATTCCTCACATTGCCAGAGGTGTAGCTCAGTGGCACAAGTGCCTGCCTAGTGAGCACAAGGTCCAGGTTCAATTCCTGATAGGAAAAAGCAAAACAAAACACTCCTCACAAAAATCATCGCTCTCAATGACATGAAATCATCCAAAGAGCACCAGATTAACAACCTCTTTTAAGATACAATGGCATCTTGGTTCATGAACTTCGTTCTTTCCACAATTCTGGTTACAAACCAAATTGGCTAAGAAACAAATCAAATTCAGTGATTAATTAATTAGTTTCAATGCTGACCTTCTAGGGATATCTCCAATTTGGTTTGTAACAAAATCATGGCAAGAATTAAATTCATAAACTAAGTAAGTTACATTTTAACCCGGTGAGTTCCTGTATTCCCAGCATGGCCAAGGGAGACCAAAGGAGAAAGACTGAGAATTTAAGCCCAGTATGGGCAATTTAGTGACTTAATGAGATCCTGTCTCAAAATAAAAAAGCACTAAGGATTAGCTCAGTAAAAGACCCTGAGTTCAATACCTAGTAACTACAAAAATAAATGAATAAAATACATTTTAACTTCTAAAATCTTTCACAAATCTTTTAAACTTCACTTAAAAAAAAAAAAAAGCCAGCCCCAGTAGTGCACATTTATCATCCTCATTATTTAGAAGAGAAATTGACCTTGAACCTAGCAAGACCCCACTCAAAAACATAAACAAGATTCTATCGACAGAGTGGGGGTAAAGGTTTTAACATTTATCTATATCTCTTTGCTATCTAAGAACAATCAAAATTATTGTAGTCAAGTAGGTCTGGTTTCTGTTATTTATTAAAGAACAAAACTCCCTTCAATCTCCACACCAAAAAAAGTCAACCTAAAAAACTTAGAACTTTAAAAAAAAAAAAAACTTAAAACTTTGATTTCAGCTACAAGGCACAACCTTTCTAGAAGGAAAGAACTGGTCTAATTCTAGTTACTCTTATACACAATGATACCCAAAGTTACTGCATAATTCTCTTCCAACACCCTTCCCCAATCTAAAATGATCATAAATAAGTACAAAAATGAAATAGTAAGTTTCACTGATACTGTCCTACTATGAAGAATGTGCTCCCAAAGGCCACACTTGATTACTTTATACCTTGCTTTGTTCCCAAAGACTTGCAGCAAACAATGCAGTAAAATACATGAATTTCAAAGGAAAATTATGAGTGAGAAATTAGGATGAAATAGTGAATTAAATCATAAGGGCCACGATTTCTTGTCTTTCGGTATGTTAATCTTCATTTTCCTCTTAACTGTTTGGTAGCACCTTTCTGACCACCTCATCTAAACTTCTGTTGGTGTTTTTGTTTCATTCTGTTTGCTTTTTTTGAGACAGGATCTCCCTGGTCTTGAACTCACCATATAGCCCAGGCTGGCCAGGAGCTCACAGTAATCCTCCTCAACCTGGGATTACAGGCATGTACCATCATACTCAGCATCTAAACTAAGCTTGGTAAACTTTTAAATGTTGAACAGTTACACACAGGGCTGAGGCCCAAAATACCTTATGTCAGTAGTGGCATACCTACGCCACACGTGCTACAGTGGACTGTTTTTGAAAGCTCTGAAAAGGTGCACCATCACTGCCTTATGTCATGATACAAAACAACACAAAATTCCATTCATTATCTAAAATTTCCACTGCTGTCTAAATTACAGAAAATAAACCACTAACTCCCAAATTTTGTCTCATACTTGGATTTGTCCTCAGATCAAGATATAAAACTTCCAAAACCAACTGTGAAAGGCAAATTCTTTTTAGAATAGCTTATATTCTGGATCAAATATATTCTCCTGCCTCAAACAAGCCCTATGCTGCTGTAGCTGACACAGGAGAATCACCACAAATTCGAGATCAGTCTGCAATATATAGCAAGAATCTATCTCCAAACAAAACAAATAAAAAAATATGGTAAGAATCTTTATAAAAAAAGTCCCTATCTGGGGGCTGGGGATTTAGCTCAGCTGTATAAGTGCCTCTCTGCAAGCACAAGCTTGTGAGTTTGATCCCTGCTTCAAAAAAAAAGTCCCTATCTGACACTGTAACACTGCTCTCCTCAAAAAATGAAAACATGATTAAATTCACCCCATAAAGGAAGAAGTGTAAAAGAATACAATTAAGTAGGAAGAAGAAAAACTATGAGTATTGCTTTCATAGTAGTAGGAACAGGGCCTCAAGAATGCTAGGAACAAGCTGGGTGTAATGGCTCACGCCTGTAATCCCAGCACCCAGGAGGCTGAGTTGGGAGGATCCTTGGGAGTTCAAAACCAGCCTGGGCTACAAAGTGAGCTCAAGGACAGTCTGAACTGCATAGCGAGACCCCATCTCAAAAAAGACCAAAAAAAAAAAAAAGAATGCTAGGAACATCTCCAACCCCAAACTGACTTCTGACACAATCAGATACTAAAAAATCTAAGTAATCTTCCTAAAAAAACTACTAGAATTTATGTGACTTAAGCAAGGTTGTAACACCCAGGTCAACATACAAAAATAAAATAAAGTAAAAAAATCAAGGGGCTGGGAATTTAGCTAAGTGACATAAGTGCCTGCCTTGCAAGCATGCGGTCGTGAGTTCGATCCCCAGTACTGGGGGAAAAAAAAAAAAAAACACAAAAATCAATTCCATTTCTATATACTAAGAATAATTCAAAACTGAATTTTTATAATACCATTTTAGAACAGCATCAAAAAAACAAAATTCTTAAATGAAAACATCATCAAAAACTACAGTATCAGGGGCTGGGGATTTAGCTCAGCAGCATAAGCGCCTGCCTTGCAAGCAGGCAGTCGTGAGTTCGATCCCTGGTACCAATAAAAACGAAAAAGACAAAAAAAACAAAACTACAGTATCAATGGGCAGACCTGGTGGTGCACACCTGTAATCCCAGCACTCAGGAGGATGAGGCAGGAGGAATGCCACGAATTCAAGCCCAGCCAGAGCTATGCATAAGTTCAATGATAGCCTGAACTATATAAGAAGCCCTGTCTCAAAAAAAACAAAAAACAGAGACCATCAAGATCAAATCAAAGAAAAAAAATCAAATCAAAGTATAAAACCCTGTTCAGAAAAAACAAAGATTTAAGCAGAGAGATTCACTGTGATAATGAATAGAAGACTCAATATAATTATGACATCAATGGTGTCAATCTGCAACCTGAGCTAGAGTAAAAAGCAAGTGCAGCCACAATCCAGTCAACCTTCGCATCACCCTCCTCCAGAAAGCCTCTACACTGAGCCATGTCCCATACCTCTTTTTAATTTTTCACTGTGAGACAGTCTTAATAAACTCTAAAACTGCCCCAGTTTCTCAGGCTAGACTTTAATTTGAGATCCCTCCTGCCTCAGCCACCCTGAGTGCTGTAATTAGAGGAATGTGTGAAGCACACCTGGCTCCAAAAGACCTATGTGGAGATAAGAAAAACAGTATTTATATGAAAATGTGAAGGAAAGAGTATGCAAACAATCTTGACAAAGGAAAGCTAGAAGACTATAACTTGAGATTCTAACAACTATTTTTTTTTTTTTTTTTTTTTTTAGGCAGTACTGGGGATAGAACCCAGGGTCACACTTATCACTGAGCTATATGCTTAGTCCCTTTAATTTTTTGAGACAGGATGTCACTAAGCTGTGTAAACTAGCCTCAAACTTTTGATATTCCTGCCTCAGCCTCTTGAGTAGCTGGGATTAGACAAGCATCACCTTTCCATCTACAAGATTTCTTATAAAGGAACAAGTAGTTAAAACTGTGTGATACAGTGGAAATCAGTGTGGAGATCCCTCAAAAAATTAGGATTAGAGGTCCAATTCAACCCAGGTATTGCCCTTCTGTGTATCTTCCCAGAAGGATTGAAAAACATCACACCACAGTGACATATGTGCAACCATAAGGTTCAAAATATACAATAGTCACTGTGAAATGGGAGAAAACTGTTCAATAAAAAGAAGAAACTAAGATAGGGGAAAAAAGAAAGGATAGAAGGGAAAAGAAAAAAATGCAAGTTACTTATACCATTAGTGTCATTTAGTTTACTGAATAAGAAAGGTTGTGCTAATATTGATTGAAGAAATTTTTATGCCCATATTTTATATTTGAGTGACTAAAGATAATGATGTATAACTTATCAACAATTGTTACTTTTTCATTATTTTGTTGTGAAAATTTGTTTTACCTTTTCTTCTTAATATTAATAAATAAAGTTTAAAAAAAAAAAACTGTGTGATAATGATATAAGGCTAACAAACAGATCAATGGAACAGAACAAAGTTTCCTGAAAGAGCACACACCTCTGTGGTCATGTCTCACTAAAATAATGACATGAGGAAAGGATACCTTTTACAATACAGTACAAACACAACTAGACAGCAATAAAATAATAAACTGAGGGGGCTGGGGATTTAGCTCAGCGGCATAAGCGCCTGCCTTACAAGCAGGCAGTCGTGAGTTCGATCCCCCGTACCAATAAAAAGGAAAAAGACCCAAAAACAAAAAATAATAATAATAATAATAATAAGCTGTATGACAGACCTAAGTATAAACTACAAAAACAAACACATTCAGAATAAAGGAAATTACCTTCATGATTTTAAGGGCAGGCACAAGCGCCTTAGTGAACAGTATGCAATAACTATAAAAGAAAACACTGATATATTAGATTTCACCAGATTGGAATATCTTTACTCATCAAAGGGCACAATGAATAAACATGGATTTGGAGAAAGTTATTTACAAAACATTTATATTACAAAGGACCAATATGTAAAACGTATGAAACCTTCAGGAACTGAAAACAGCAAAGAATTAAGATAAAAGTATGAAGAACAAACTTCATAAG